TTTTTTTTTTTTTTAAAGTGATATTAGGAAGATACCTGCTATCTCATGCAAATGGAAATGGGAAAATGACAGCATAGGATGATGATGATGATTTACAATTACAGAGACAAGCGTTCTTAGGTCGGTTTTTCTGTTATACTTAGCCTTTCCGAGGAATGAGCGACTTGCAAGATGAATTCCCTATCAATTCTAATTGAACTCTGCAAGTGAAAGGATCTTTAAATGCAATGAGTCCCTTGATGTGTCTAGATGGAAGTGAGCACATGCTGCCTTCACATGTGCACTGGGCAAGTGGGCTGAGAGGGAGCCCCCTCCACACACACATCTGGGGGAGAGACATCAGACAAGCAGCGCGGGTGAGGGCGTGTGAAATGCGATATTCTCAAATGAGAAGGCAATGACATGAGATTCACTTCTGAGGTGACCTCTGCATAAAACCAAGGCAGTACACCGGCAGCAGGTACCACATTATCATTTCACACCAGGCTGGGCCAAGGTGATGCCCAGGTTCCCGGGACTGACCCACCCCACAGTGCAGTTGGTCCTGCTCTGGCCTCCAGTCCTGCAGTCTGAGAAAGGCTGCAGCCGCTCATACTGTTCCTCCTCTGGGGTTGTGCCAGGCACAGCTTCTTACAGTTGTTTGAAAGTGTGCATGTGGGCCCAGAATGTTCCAGTAAGTCATGGCCTTGCGTTAGACATAGCTCCCTCTGCTATGTGCCCTCCTCTGCTCACGGGCACATTCACTCCCTATCTGCTAGGCATGTGGGTCTCGGTCAGCCCAGAGGAGTCCTGTGTAGACACATGTATAGTCAACGTGGCTTCTAAAGAGGATTGGACTTTTCTCAGTTCGAGGTTGTGAGAGAGGATGGGTCCTGGAAGCCCAGTTCCTGACTGACCCTCGGTGAGAGTGGGGACCGCTGCTACCGCCAAAGTGTCATAGACCAGACATCCCGAGTGTTGCCGGATACCTTGGAACTTTCCAAGGTCCTGAAGTTCTAACCATAAGCGTACCTGCTCTCACAGATACTCCCTCACCCAGAGGGAAAGGCTCTCCACACCCCAGCTCCTCGACCAACTGGACCAGTGTCACCTCCACCCCCCAGTCCTCAATATAATGGGTTAACTCCCTGTCAGGCCATGGGTTATTCAAACAAACCTATCACATTCGCCCACAGAAACCACGGACACCTCATCCTCTTGTTACCACAGTTTGCTCCACAATCCCTGCTGCTGTCCACTCCACTGTAAGACTGCCCCCTTGTGGTCCTGCAGGGTGTATTCCTCCCCATGTGTGAAAACACATGGCTGACAGGATGCTGCCAGCCTTATCTGTCTCTGTCAGGGGTTTGGACTGCTTGTGTTATTTCAGGCAGGGACCTCTCCCCATTACCAGTAGGGTGAATAGGAGGTGGTCAGTCAATCATACCAAACCTACTGGGAGAAAGATGATGCTTTCTCTTCCCGCAAAGATACACAGCTACAGAAACAGGGTTGTCACACGTTGGGGCCACTCGACAGCACTTAACAACACCATGAATCAGGACAGGAGTCCTGGGGTGGTGCTGTAGAATAAGCCCGGGCTGCTAATCTCAAGGTCAGTGGTTCAAACCCAAAAGCTGCTCCCTGGAAACCCTATACAGCCTAACTCATACAGCACCTAACAACCACCAGCACCCATGAAACCTCTTCTGCCCCAGTGATGGCTCCTAGAATACAGAAGGCTTCAAAAAGTTTGTGGAAGAACTTGATTATCTTTTAATTCCATTTTCCACCAAATTTTTTGAAATCCCTTCCTATTTACCAGCCCCACCGAGGACATATAAGAAAAAACCTGAAATGAGAATATTTTTGTTTTACAGAGGCTTGTATTTTTGTGTGTGTGTGCGTAGTTTATGAGATTAACAAAATATACTAGCAATGACATTGCAGATCCTTACTGCTAACTAAACACACATCTTACTGGAATTTGGAGCTGTGGATTCTGCATTTGAGATAAACTCTTGGAAAAGTGAATTTGCCTTACCACCGACAGATATGCCCCACAGTTCATTAACGGGAGGGTAACTGGCCACCGACAGATGTGCCCCACAGTTCATTAACGGGAGGGTAACTGGCCACTGACAGATGTGCCCCACAGTTCATTAACGGGAGGGTAACTGGCCACCGACAGATGTGCCCCACAGTTCATTAACGGGAGGGTAACTGGCCATTTTCCTCGGGTTTATTGAAGTAGAGGAACAGTGGGGAGACTGAGTGTAGGGGTCACGGGGGAGGTAAATGTATGAGTGGGACCCCAGTGGCAGGATGAGAGAGGCTGTGTGTGGGGTCAGGAGTCACCAGCCTGCCTCCTCCCCTGTCCAGCCTTGACCATACACTATGAACATCAACACTGACCTCACCTCACTCAGAGAAGATGGGATGACAAAGGTATGGTAGGGTTCCTGTACATATCAGCATAAACCTTTTGGGGGGCAGGGAAGTGACATTTGCTAACCCTGCTTGGAAGCTCTGTCCCCAGACTACTTTCCAACCTGCATTTACTTGGAGGGAAAGGTGGGAAATGATTACTATGGTGGTCACAGAGAATAGGGAGCAAGTGGAGGCCTAAAGTGGGTTTCTCTCGCTGCCCCTCACTTACTTCTCTGGTTTCAGGTCTCGGTAAATGATTCCCAGCCCGTGCAGGTGGTCCAAAGCTAAGGCTAGCTCTGCTAAATAGAATTTGACATCTTCTTCCGTGAACATCACCTGGTCAGAAGAAGACAAGAACAAGGTTTGTTAGAAAGAGCCTGCCAGATGAACCAGGACTTAGTCCCAGAAGATCTAGACTCCAGACCACGACGCCACTAACAAGCTTTCCTGGGGCCCATGATGGAAAAGCTTTGTCCAGAGGAAGAGCTCCTACTGGACTCAGAAAAGTGAGGAGAGAAGACCAAAAGTGGGCTTCATTCACAATGTGAGGGAACCTTCAGAGATAGGTCACTCATCTGCCTTCTTACTGAGCTGGGAAAAGGATTTCTGGGTTTCCATGGTAACACGAGTGCAGAGTCATAACGTTTTAATAAAAATAGTGGAGACTTGAGGGTCAGCCATTGGAGACTCCGTCTTGTCTTGTTTCTTTCTTTCTTCTACTTCTCTTTGGATGAGTGTAAGCTGGTCACCTCGGTGGGCCTCACACATACCTGTCCTTCCTGCCCAGGTGGCCCATTCCCTCTCAGTCGTCCCCTGAATTTTGAAGAGAAGCTACCAGCACCTGGCAACCCCCAGGAGGGAGGCTCACCTCTTTGGAGAGTCTGGTGAAGAGGTCCCCTCCCCGCAGGAAGTCCAAGATCAGGTAGAGCTTCCCCTCCGTCTGAAAGGCTGTGCAGGAGAGACGTGGGCACAGGTCAGCATGGGCACAGATGTGCGTCAAGAAGCAGAGAGGTCTCCTTGAGTGGACATTACTATCTTTGTAGTTCAGCAAGCCCAGCCCCTCCGTGGGCCACAGAGAACTAGTTCATCTGTGAACCTGCCTGGAATCCACGCTGAGGACCAGCTTTCCAGAGGCAAGAAATAAAGCGACGAGACCTGGTGTGTGAGCTGCCCCTTAGAGACGCGCAGTTCCGGGAACCCTGTGGGGCAGCTCTGCTCTGTCCTCAGCACTGACTGGCGGGCAGCTGGTGTGAGCGTGAATACATTCTCTTCCTCTCTCTCACTGGGAGCTTTATGATGTTTTCTCTTTTCTTCCCTTTTTCATTCCCTCACACTCTCCCTCCTTTTTAAACTGCCAAGAGAACTAACAGGTTGTTGTTGTTAAGTTCTGTCAAGTTGGTTCTGACCCTGCACAGGGTTTCCAAGGCTGCAAATCTTTACGGGAGCAGAAAGCCTCATTTTTCTCCCACGGAATTGCTGGTAGTTTCGAACTGCTGACCTTGAGGTTAGCAGCCCGATTCGTAACCACTACGCTACCAGAGTAAACACGTGTACGTTCATGCTGGATCTCACATCACTGTCATCACTATTCTCAGCATTGGTGTGTTGCTACAGGATCACCACTGGACTGCTAACCCAAAGGTCGGCAGTTCAAACCCACCCACCAGCTACTTCTTGGAAATTCTGTACTGGGTCACTACGAGTCAGAACTGACTCAATGGCACTTAACAACAACAACGTTATCAGTATTGGACTCCAGATGTGCTGTTGCAGGATCAGCAGTTCAAACCCACCAGCTGCTCCTTGGAAACCCTACACGGGGTCACTACAAGTCAGAACTGACTCAATGGCACTTAACATGGCCACTAACAACGTTATCAGCAGTGGACTCCTAGATTGGCCTGTAGGAACAGCACTGATTGGACTGCTAACCAAAAGGCTGGCGGTTCGAACCCACCAGCTGCTCCTCAGAAACCTTATACAGGGTCACTATGGGTCAGAACTGACTCAATGGCACTTAACAACAACGTCATTAGCATTAGGCCTTGGTTATAGCTGAGGCGTAACCACTGGCCAGAAAGGGAATGCCACCGTCCACCCGGGGCTGAGCCACACACGGAGAAGGCAGACAGGGAGCTTCAGCATTTAGTTCATGTCCCAGGAAGCACCTCTTTCAAAACCTTTTATTTTCAAAAAGTAAATGCAAGAAGTATTACAGGTGTCACGCTTTCGGAACACAGAGCTTCCGGCTGGAAACCTGGGCTTAGAACTATGCACACTGCTTGGCAGACAGACTCTGAGGCCACACAGAGCATCTGACTAGAAATCTTGGTACCATGCCCCCTTCTTAAGGAGCCTTCTCAACAACACTCTGGAAACCAATGGAAAAGACAGAGGACGGATTCCACACCAGCTCACAGACAGAGGCTGGGCGGCACTTCCACTCCTGAAGATGGGGACAGGACAGAGCCTGCCTGCGGCCTCCAGGGCCCAGCACAGCGCAAACACAAGAGAGCAGCTGGAGAGTCGATTCAAAGTCCTCATGCCCGTGTGTGTCAGAGTAGAACTGTGCTCACAGGGTTCTCAGTGGGTGATTTTTCATAAGTAGATCCCACTCATGGTGCTCCGTGTGTGTCAGAGTGGATGATTTTTCAACACATTTCAGACCTTTCTTCTGAGGTCCGTCTGGGTAGACCCAAACCTGCAGTCTTCTGTTGAACAGTCTCCCAGGGTCTCCACACATAAATAAGAACTTCAATTATTTTTTATAGGACCACATAGTAAATAAGAACTTCATTGGGCCACACAATTCCTAAACAAGTCTGAATTGTTTTCTTAGTGATATAAGAAATGAACCAGCAAATGACTTGAAAGTCTCCTTGGTCCTATCCTTTGGGATGTGTTTATGTTTTCATATTTCTCTTGCTAAAGAAACATGTCCCCCTCCTCCTGGCTCTGCACTCACACGAGGGGACCACTCCATAGGGGCTCGTCCTCTGGACTTTGCCGTATTAATTACTCACAGAAAGTGCACGATGCTGCAGTAATGTCGTGCTGAACTCAGCTACCTGTGTGGTGTTTTTAATGTGAGGATTCGCTTTATTACTTTTGTGAGGAGATGAAAAGGCAGAAAGCACATTGTTTACAGGAGTGAAGTAGTCTATCTAGCACTGCAGTCAGCTAAGTCGGGATTTTTTTTTTTTTTTTAATTTGAAGATTTATTTCATTGCTTTTCTGGAGAGATAAAAAGATTGAAATCAAGTGAAGAAAAGCCATGTGGCAGATCAGGTATGAGGCCAATATGAACATCCCTGAGCTGCACCGTGGGTTTCTCTCGTGGAAACTGGTAGTCACGAGCAAGCTCGAGTGGGCATTTAGAAGGTTCAGTGAGTGGTGTGTGTGTTGTTGTGAAGTGCTGTCGAGTTGGTTCTAACTCACAGCGACACTGCAGAGGGTGTCTGAGGGGAGGCTGGTGGGCGGGAACCTGCAACCCTGCAGTTAGCTGTTCCTTGAAACATGTTGTTGTTAGGGGCAGTGGAGTCGGCTCTGAGCCTAGTGACCTCTGCAGAAGTGACTGAAACACTGCCCAGCCCTGCACCGTTCTCACAATGTTAGTTAGGTTTGAAGCACTGGTGTGGATGCCGTTGGGGCAATCCACCTCGTTGGAGGTTTTTCAGTGGACATAGTATCAAGTTAACAGAGGAGGTGTTACCGTCTCTGGTGGCAATGGTGGAGCCATAAAACATTCTATTCTGAGAGAACACAACAATGTGACAGAATTCACCCCATCTGGGCCAAGAGCCCGTTTGACCAGATTGTCGATGATCCAATTTCACTAATCCTGTCATAGCTGTTTTATGCTCAGGCCAGTTCCGACTCCTAGTGACCCTGTATAGGGTTTCCAAGGAGCAACCGGTGAGTTTGAACCGCCCATCCTGTGATCCAGTACTTATCCTACGGCACCGCAACTCCTACAGAGCCACAGCAACGACCAGAACCGACCTCAGTGCCATCGAGTTAAGACAAACTCACAGCGATCCTGTAGACTAAAACAACTGTCAACCTTCATGGTTGCAAACTGCCTCATCTTTGTCCTGTGGAGCTACGGGTGGGATAGAACTGCTGGCATTTCCATTACCAGGCCAATGCTTAACTTGCTGTGCTACCAGGGCCCCTTCCTAAGAATGGGTGGCCCATCTATAATTAGGTCTTTGAGATGACCACAGGGCAGCTTGTTCGTTCAGGAAAGACAGAGAAGTAAAGAGATGAAGGACTGGCAGGCAGGAAAAATCCTCCCCAGACAGAACTGGGCTCTCTCCACCCAGCATGCACCGTGGCTCTTGTGAAATCCTCTCTGGTTTGGAGATGGTCCCTTGGTCCTCTTGAGGTACTAACCATAATGTAGCTTCACGATGAATGGGTGATTCACTTCAGCCAGAATGTCCCTCTCCATCTTGGACCTGACCCGGTCCCGGACTGTAATGAGAAGAAGACAGCAGGTGAGGAGAAGAGCTGGATGCTTGCTGGACAGTGAGGGTGAGCATACACACATTTCCAACACACACACAGACAACTGCTATACACACACACACAGACAACTGCTACACACACACACACATAGATGACTACACACACACCATCACCTACACACACAGACAGCTACTACATACACACCATTACCTACACACACAGACAACTACTACACACACACCATCACCTACACACACAGATGACTACACACACACACATCTCCTACACACACAGATATCTCCTACATACACACACAGACATCTCCTACATACACACACATCTCCTATACACACACACATCTCCCACACATACAATGCAAGGTTGGTGGTTCAAACTCACCAGCCACTCCTCAGAAACCCTATACAGTGTCCTCATGGGTTGGAAGTGACTTGATGGCACTTACAGCAACAATAGTATGGATAAAGGTGTCCTGGTGGCACACCAGCTTAAGCACTGAGCTGTCTACTGAAAGGTTGTCTGTTCAAAGCCACTGTTTGCTCCGAGGGAGACAGATGGGGCATTTACAGTCTTGGAAACCTAGGGTGGCCATTCTCTGTCCCACGCGGTTGCTATGGGCTGACATTCACTCGATGGCAGTGGTTGTGGGGTTTTTAGTTTTTAAGGTCACTATTACTTGGAGAAGAACATCATGCTTGAGAAAGTGGAGGGTCAGAGAAAAAGAGGAAGACCCCCGATGAGAAGGATTGGCACAGTGGCAGCGTAATGGGCTCAAGTGTAGCAATGATTGTGAAGTTGGCTCAGGACCGGGCAGTGTTTCCTTCTGTTGTACACAGACAGGGTCGCTATGAGTTGGCACTAACAACAACATGAGAAGCTTGGTGGCACAGTAAGATAAGCACTGGACTGTTAACCACAGGTCGGTAGTTCAAACCCATAAGCCACTCTGAGGGAGAATGATGAGGCTTTCTGCTTCAGTAAAGATTTACAACCTTGGAAACTCTACATGGGGTCACTGTGAGGCGGAACGGACTTGATGAAAGTGAGCTTGGTTTAGAACTTACGAAACGCACTGGTTGCACAGTGTTGGGCTATAACCCAAAAGGGCAGCAGTTTGAACCCAGTAGTCGCTGCTGGGAAAAGATGGCCAGCCTTGGAAGCCCTCTGGAGCAGTTCTACCCTGTCCTGGTGCAGCGTTCTAGGGTAAGCACTGGACTGCTAGTTCACACGCACCAGCCACTCTTGGAAACCCTAGACAGGGTCGCTATGAGTCAAAACCAACTCGATGGCACTGTGTTTGATTCTGTGGTTATTAAATACATTTTCACCCATTCATTTTCTGAATGAAAAGATGCCACTGAGGGTCCCGACGATGGTAAGAGAGTTTGTTATTGCTAAAGTTTGCCGATGAGTTGCTCTGTCTCCTGGCCAGCTCACACGGAACAGAACACAGAGCAGAATGAGACACCACCATTACTGTCTGCTGCAGCCATTGTGCCTTTTGAGGATCTTTCAACCTAGGGAGGTGCTCATCTAGCACCGCACTGCACGGTTCTGTTGTGGTTCATGGGGTTTTCATGGGCTGGTTCCATAAGTAGATTACCAGGCCTTTCTTCCTAGTCTTAGTTGGAAGCTCTGCTAAGACCTGTTCCCCACGTGTGACCCTGCCGGCATTTGAAATCGGGCATAGCTTGTAGCGTCATCAGTAATACATTGACACACTGACTGATGGGGCTTGGACAGGTCAGCAGGTAAACGCTATGCCCTCCGTCCTCTGCCCACTCCCAGGGATGTCTCCTCTGTGCACCAGCTCAGTTCTGCAGCTCGGGAAGACAAGACACACCGAGGGGCACTGCGTTTCCTATAGGTCCCTCCAGCTGCAGTAAGTGACAGCCTCAGAGGATGGCGTGGTGGGAGCGTTCTAAACCCACTGTTGTTGGTTCAATTCTGACCCGAAGCAACCCTGAAGGGCAGAGTAGCTCAGCCCCATAGGGTTTCCGAGGCTGCCTCAACTTTCTCCTGTGCAGCGACTGGCAGGTTCGAACTGATGCCCTTTTTGTTACCAGCCCAATGCTTAACCCACTGCACCCCAGGGCTCCTTTGGGAAAGATTCACAAAAGTAAAAACCGAAATCTGCTCATTGTACAAACAGCACAGAAGCTGTGGTCTACGTCGGGACCTGAGGGACAAAGGTGTTTGTTCAGAACGCTTTCGCTCAAGACAAAAGTAAAGATGGAGAAGGAGGTGGGTGGCACCAATGTCAGGGGGTCTGCTGGGAGGCCAGTCACAAGTCCTCCTCAGACTGTCGAGGCCCAGTGACACCCCACTGGGTTCCAGTGAGCCAAGAAGGGTTTGCCCCCCACCAAGCAGATGCGGGACAGTGCAACCCCTCTCCCTGAAGGGGAGTGGGCTCTGGGCTACAGTCTCTTCTTTTCCCCCAGACCCTACCGGCTCCAGGTTCAACTACACATCTGATGTCAGCACGATGGGGTGAAAGATAATGGAATTTCTCCACACGCTGTTTGAAACTCCTTGTATAGGAGACAGAAACCAAAGGATACAGCAAGTCTCATGAAAAAAGCAGAAAGAGATACCACACATTCAAATTTTCATAGATTTGTCTGGTTACAGTGAGCAAATACATGGAGATCCTTGGTTTATATCTTACACAGAATTGCAGATCAAAGAGTCAAATGCTACAAACTGAAGCCGTAAAAACAACAAAGATGCACACGTGCCTATGTTCAATGGGGAATTTTATTTTTTAACAAAAGCAATGGAAGAAATAGCATAGGAAAGGTGGATCAATGGAGCCACGAAACACCCACTGAGCAGCCACCTAAAGAGGCTGTAACAGTAAAGGCTGAACAACACCAACGGGAATGATCTGGAATAGACAGAAAACACACCAAGAGCCAATACGAGCACGAAGGAGATTAACGCACTCTCATAACCAACTGCTTGGCAGCCGACGTCCTCTCACTGGCACCGTGTGTGTCGGCGTAGGACTGAGCTCCACCGTCCACAGGGTTCTCAAGGATGTGAGTTTCCAGAAATGGATCACCAGGCTTTTCTTCTGAGGCTTCAGGGAGCGGATTAGAACCTTCACACGTTGGGTAGTCAAGTGTTTAATCATTTGTGCCACCCCCGCAAACAAAACATTGTCATTGATTCAAATTGGACTCGAGGTTAGTCCATGTGTGTCAGACTAGACCTGTGCTCCATCGAGTTTATAAGGGCTGACTTTTCTGGAAGGAGATTGCCAGACCTTTCTTTCAAGGTGCCTCTGGGTAGACTTCAATTTCCAACCTTTCGGTTAGCAGCCAAGTGTGTTAAGCTTGTCTCTCATAATATCATATTATCTCATAGTGCGATAAAGAGACCAAGCCTCCAGCTGGGACAGGGACCACATGCCCACAAACATGGAGTTCTGTAGAGTTGTCCACCTGCACACACATGGGCCAATACAAGTATATTTGGGCCCCAGGTGGCAGGACGTTCTTACTACTCACTGATAAAGACCTAACTCACTGTGCCTCACTTCCCTGGAGGCTCAGCACTGAGCCCCACACAAGAGCCTTTCTGGCAACCTCAAAGGCTCCTGTTTTTTGACAGGGAAGGGGCAGGTCTGTCTATCAAGCTGTGGGAGCACCCCTCCCCGACTAAGAAAGTACATACAATGACAGCGATAGTTGTTTTCTGCAAGACTACGCCTGCCTTCTTACTCTTTATTGAAGAAGAATTACCTCTTTTGACAGACTGCGTCTTTGGCAGCTAAGCATCCCAGGGAGATTTGATTCTTGAGCGCAGCAGGCAAACAGAGAGAAAGCTAAGAAGTGACTCCTCCATCCTTCCCTTTGTGGTTGTCTCAGCAGGATAAAGACAGTGAGGTCAATGAGCGCTCACGCTGGCTGAGCTACAAAGAGTCCTAGTGCGGCACTGGAGAATAAACTGTGAACCTCAAAAGGTGAGCGGTTCAAACCCATCGGCCGCTCCTTGGAAACTCCATACAGGGTCACCATGAGTCAGAACCAACTCAAAGGCATTTAACCACAATTCAAGAAATGTAATTCTGGGGAAAAGGAACCCATGAAGGGCTCAAAGGTGCACAGATGGAGATGGATACACCTGCTACATAGGGTGCTGTTTATCTGAGCTGCAAGTGTGTATGTGTGTGTGGACTGCAGGATAGAAATGCCCAAGACAGCTTCAGAAGGGGGCATCTTTACTTTCTGGTCTTACTTTACTCCTTGTGCAAACAAATGACTTCAATAATAAATATCATAAATGCGCGTAGTTTCCAGAAGGTGCAGAGTTGATAGGAAATGAAGGAGTTTGAAGGTTCAGGGAGTCAGGTGCCCTGTTTCCCTGGAAAGAGCACAGGGTTCTAACCCTGGTTCCTCTCTCACCTCATCATCTCCAAGCAACATGATTTGAATGGGAACTTCCTTGCTTTGAGCCTCGGTTTCCTCCTCTGTAAAATGAGGACCCGACTCGATGGCACTTAACAACAACAACAACAACCAGGAACCTCAGTCATCTCCCCAATGAAGAACCTAACAGGGAAACAATGGTGATCCCACTGGGCTGCTAACTGAAATCTTGCGGTGCTTCAGAAGAAAGACTTGGTGATTGGCATCAGAAGAATCAACCAATCAAAAGCCCCGTGGAGCACAGCTCTCCTCTGATGCTGCTGGTGGCCTAGGGTTGGAGTCGAATAGATGACACCGGGTTTTCCCTCTAGGAATCAGAAATAGTTCAAATGTGAACCGTGACCCAAATGAGTCTCTTAGTAGAAAACTTGCTCAAACGCAGGCATTCTTTGAAGCTTAGTTTGGGAATGAGTCATTATTTTTTAACGATGTGTCTCCGAGTGAGAGAAAGTGAAACAGACAAATTATCTCAGACAAGAACTTTCGGAGGGTTGAAACCAACTGTGTTCTGTCTGACGTGAGCTGTTGCAATCAGCGAGAATGGACCTCAGTACC